CAAAATGCCTGGCATTCTCATAGCATTGTGCTTCTCCCTTGAAGCACTTTCCTGGCAGACCATCAAGAGGTGGTCCTTTCTCTTAACCTGCAGGTATCTCCATAGGGAAGATGGAAGAGAGATGAGAAAATCAGGGCAAGAGCTGGTTGTGACCTAAAGGTCACCCGTTCAAAGAAGCCATTTAGAAGTGCTGAAGCCATCCCAAAGCTTATTTGAAAGCATCAGGAATCACTTCCTCCTATCTTGTTATACAGTATGGAACCTCAAAGTAGTTTACTGAGTATCCTGGTTTTGTTCTAGGGAATGACAGGCTTCAGCTGAATGAGAAAGTGCTGTCTTGCTCTGTTGATAACCTCAAAATTTGCCTTTCAGGTGTGCAGCAATGGGCAGTGTGTTGAGATACAGATGGCCTACAGATCTACCAACTGTTCCAACAAATGCAAAGGACACTCTGTAAGAATTACACATTCTGGCTAAGGAATGCTACATGCGCTTTAGCGGGCTTTAAGACTGTTCTGCTTAGAGATAGGGCTCGGGAGAGCTTCCTCTGTTAAGCACGTACGCTTGGCCGTTTCACCTTTTCCTTTGCAGTATTCTCTGCTCCTCTTTCTTCTTTTAGTCTTTTCCAATGTGCTCTTTGTTTCATTTGCTCCTCTTGCCACACCCTTTCTAGAATAATGCATATGTTGATCCCTGAAAATAAGCCACGCTTTCTTTTTATACTGGCATAAATCTGAAGCAGCTGCAAATAATCCATTAGAGTTTATTTGTAAATATATTTCGGATGATATTTACTGTACATCTATATCTAAATAAATCTCAAAGCTTGACTTAGTCCTTCTCAGTCTGCTGTCCTGCTCAAGTGCGCTGACCACAGCTCTCATACTAACCAAAGAAGAGTGCCCTGCTGTTGTTAGGCTTAGTCTTATGACTCAGCCTAGCACCAGATTGAAGAATAGTGACTTGGCTGTTCAGATAGTCTTTGGGACTGCATCCTGAACAGCACCTTTGGTAGGAACTCTTCATTTCTTTTTCTCTGTCAGATGCTTTGGGGGGGTTTCCATCTTTTTA